ACACTCTGAGGTCTGCCCCTGTCCTGGGCGCTCCCTGACGGCTGGGGACAGCTCACACTCCGGGGTCTGCCCCGTCCTGGGCGCTCCCTGACGGCAGGGGACAGCTCACACTCCGGGGACTGCCCCATCCTGGGTGCTCCCTGACGGCTGGGGACAGCTCACACTCTGGGGTCTGCCCTGTCCTGGGTGCTCCCTGATGGCTGGGCCACAGGCTCCATGCTGAGCTGCTTGTCCCCTGCCCATCACCACCTCGTCTGTCCTCTCTGAACTGGGCCCTTGTGACTCAGATGACTCCTGGGGTGTCCTCTTTCCAGAACTCAGGTCCTCCAGCCCAGTGTGGAGGGGCCCACAGGTCCCCGGATGGAAGGGGATGGGCGAAAAGTGGGGGGGGGGGTTCTCCCCATCTTTCCACACTTCCTCTGTGTCAGTCATTTGTCTCCTGGTCTTCCTGGCAATGCTGTCCTTCCTCTGCCATCACTGTCCCCAGGAGCCCAGTGTCACTTTTATGAGAGCTTAAAACACAAGCTCCATCTGCCTCTCCTCTGCTCAGAAGCATCACAAGTGATTCTCGTAGAGAAAAACAGCTGCTATTTCTCAGACCTTTGATGCTGTAGTGACGTGGAGGGTGCTCTACCCTGAATGTCCCAGTAGGGCAGCCCTCTGGGAAGGAGGGTGATCACAAGTAGCACAAACTGCCGCGGGACACGGGGGCCCTGCCTGGGATGGCCCCAGGTGGGACAACCCTCTGCCAATCTCCAGGCTGGTCACAGACAGGAGAGTGACAAGCCTGCTCCCCACACCCCGAGAAGTCCCCCAAAGGCATCCTCACCGGAAATAGTGTTGCTGATCTTGACGAAGATCTTCTCAAAGTCAGCGAAGTCGCTCCAGGAGGACTGGAACATGTGCATGAAGCAGTTGATGAACAGATTCTCTATCCTGCAGAGGGGAGAGGCGTCACTCCCTGGCCTGTGCCCGCGCCAAGCCTCCTCTGCAAAGCGCTTTCACCCCCAGATCTCACACCCTGGGGCACCAGGGAGGTTCCGGGCGGGTCTTGTGGAATCAGAACAGGAAGCACCCCTGTACCCTCGCCTGCTGCTCCTCCCCCTGCACCTCACCTACCCAGGGTCTGCCCCTGACAGTCCACATACGGTGCCTCAAAGGCCATCCATGCACGCCTGCATTCAGTCAGTCACCCGTTCCTGCACCTGCTGGCCAGCTCCTGTGTGAGCGTCCCGGTCCAGGGAGCCAGCTCAGTGCCTCCTATGCAGCTGCTCCTCCCCACCTCCTGGAGTGGGGGATGGGCAGTGCAGGTCAGAGTCGCCCTCACTGATTTCTGCCTAAGCTGGGGTGTGTGTCTGGTGCTGAGGAGGACATGAGAATTTTCCACATGCTCCTCACACAGGATGGCAGAACAGAAATCCAAGGCAGGAGATCACGACATTCACAATGCAGGCTGCAGACAGCCAGGAGTGAGACCAAAGGGGCCTGAGCCACCCAAGGGCTTCCTGGAGGAGGCAGGACCTGGGATGGGCCTGGGAAAGGTGGCAGAGAGGGGAGAGGCTCCCCCATAACCTGAGCAGGGTGCACCAGGATGGAAGGCTGGGAAGTCTGGCCTGTGTTCACAGTGCCACCTTTGCTTGGGTTTCTCTATGAGGCATGCGTGGCTGACGGCTGTCCTGTTTCCTCCCACTGTGAGGGCCTGTGCTTGCTCCCTGGCCTCGGCCCCGCACCTCAGGGCTCAGGCCTCCCCACCTTCTGTGCCTCCTGACTCGGGGCTTTTGCACATACAGTGCCCTCTGCCTGGGGTGCTCTGCACCCCTCTTTCTTCTACTGAATACATGGGGTGATTGGATCTGGAGGATCCCCACTCCTACAGGGAAGGCCGCCCTACCCCAGACTAAGCCAGGCCCCTGTGTGTGATGCGACCTCCTGTGGCACTTATCACGGTTTAGGGGTTTAGGGGCAGGTTCACTTGTGTGAGCAGTGCATAGCTGTCTGCACAGCTGTCTGACCCTCATGGGGAGAGGAGAGCCCTTTCCAGGCTCCAAAGTCCCTGGTGTCTGCAGGATGACTTGGCACCAGACAGGGGTCCTGGAAAGAGGTCTTTGCCTGGGCTGCCGGCCTCAGTGATCTTGTGGGGAACTGGGAGCGGGTCAGCCTGCAGGACCACGTTTCCCCACCTGAATCTCTGACCTCAAAACAGAAACTGACACTGAAATGCACGTGGAGTGTGGCAGCTCTAGAGGAAGCCATGGATCCAGGAAGAGTGAAGTTAGGAGGAAAATATTTGCATGTCATCTAGGGGCAGATATTTCTACATGCTTGTAGACAAGCAGATTATTCAGGACTTCAAAGATCTGTTATTGCACAAAAGAGTAACCTGTGACCCAGCCGCGACTTGCCCCAGGTCATCCAGCCCAGCTGCCAGCCCCCAACCTCCTCTGGGCTGGGCACAGCTGAGGGCCGTGTGCCCCGGAAGTGGGGGCTCTCGGTCCCTGTGCTTTCCCTGCCACTCCCCTTCTTCTAGCAGCTTCTCCATTTTCCATGTCACAGGGTGGCTGTCTGGGGGGGATGGGGCAAGGTTTACAGAGGAGAGCTGGCCCTGCTCCAGGCAGAGCAGGTGGCTCAGAGGAAGCCAGCCACCAGAGTTACCCAGAATTGGTGAGGAACAAAGTGGCCTCAGTGACCTCAGCCATGCCTTCCAGATGGTCAGGGGCAGGCCTGGGTTTGGCCATGGCAGAGTGGGACTGCCTTAACAAGAGCAGAGGCCCAGGCCCAGCCTGGGACTGTCTAGGACCGCTGGTGAGCCCCCCCAAAGGACCCCTGGAGTAGAGCTGGGAGTTCAGGTGAGGTGAGATGGGTGCAGGTCAGCACCGAGCTCAAAGGGCCTGAAATCCTAGCTCCAGCCCCTCCCAGCTATGGGGAGGGCAAGGCCCTGAGCTCCCTGGGCCTTGTTTTCCTCAACTGTGAAATGGGGATAGTGACTGTTCCTGCCTCATAGGGTTGACATGATATAAAGATTGGTACATAAAAAGAGTTCCCTGAATATCAGCGACTATGGCGTAATCGCTGATTTCTGTTAGTGTTTGGGTCTGGAGCAGAGGACATGGCGCTCGCTCTGGGGGGACCAGTAGGCACATTTACACCTGGTCGGCGGCAGGCTTGCCCTGCCCCTTCCCTGGGTCCTTCCGTGTAATTCCTGCGCTTCTTTCTTCCTTTCACACCCACTTCACGAAAGAATCTTCACCTGCCAACCCCCGTCTCTCGTCTCTCGGTCACTGCCAGCCCTCTCTGCCCCGCCTGCTGAAGCTGCTCTCACAGAGGGTGCCAATGGCTTTCGAGAAGCAGCATCCAAAGGGCCCTGGTCAGCTCTCCGCTCCCCTGATTTCTCTGAAGCATGTGGCAACTGACCCTCCCTTCTTGACACTCTAAACTGCAGAGTCCCCCACGGTCCTGCCCACCCAGGCAAACTTTCGGCACTCCTTACCCAATGAAGCTCCACCGCTAGGATGGTGATGAGCTGTCCACAGCGCTGGTCCCCACAGACTGTGAAAGCCCAACTTCCAGCCTGTCTACCTCCCTACTCGGCAGCCCCAACCCCCCTCCCATCCTCTGACCATGAGGGGAGTCTCACTGCCAGGCCTTTGTCGTCACGCTGCCCAGAATACTTCCCCTCCCCTCTTCCCATCAGCGTGGGACTCCTATGCATTCTCAGAGACCCAGGTTGAGTGTCTTCTCTCCAGGAAAGCATTTTCTGATGCTATCCCCCAGAGCTACCATCCTCCTTCCTCAAGTGTCCCCAGCACTCCTTACCCAAGGAAGCTCCACCGCCATGATGGTGATGAGCTGTCCACAGCGCCGGTCCCCACAGACTGTAAGCTTCCTGGCCCTGGATCCGAGGGGCCATTTTTGATTCATCTCACTGCCACCCACACGTCCTCAAGCCCAGGAGCTCAATAAGCAATTGTCAATGCAGGGGCAGGTACCCTCCCGAGGCCTCTCCCCCTGGGTAGGGTGGAAGTCCAGAATAGCCAGTAAGCAGGCAAGTGACAAGGGCGTTCACCAGGCTCATCAGGAACGCAGAGGCCATGGAAAATCCCCCCAGTGCAGATACTAGAGGGAAACTCCGTGCCAGACATGCCGGGGCACTGCATGATCAGTTCATTTAAATCTCGTAACAACTCTACTGCGTGGGCATCATTAACTTCATTTTACAGGAAGGAAACTGGGGGTTGGGAAAGTTAAACAACTCTCCCAAGATGGTGCAGCTAGAGTCTGACTCCAAACCCCGGGCGGCCAGGCTCTAAAGAAAACAATCTTTTGCTTTTAAGGGTTAATTTAAACTAGTTGCTGTCAAGTCAACTCTGATTCATGGCAACCCCTTGTGTGTCAAAGTAAAACTGTGCTCCACAGGGTTTTCAATGAATGATTTTTCAGAAGTAGGTCACCAGGCCTTTCTTCCAAGGTACCTCTGGGTGGACTCAAACCTTCAACCTTTTGGTTAGGAGCCGAACACGTTAACTTTTTGCACCACCCAGGGATTCCAAGGGATAATTAGAGATGAGTTAATACATTTTGCTATAACTTCAGTAATTTTTTTTCCAAGAAAGCAGAGTATAACCTGCTACTCAAAGTGTAGTCTGCGGTCTGGCACCTTCAGCATCACCTGGGAGCTGGGTGGAAATGCAGACTCTTGGGCCCCCTGCAGACCTACTAGTAAGAATGTGACAGGACCCTTCAGTGATTCCCATGCACGTTAGTGTTTGAGAGACGCTGTCTGGGCCCACAGCCCCTCCCCTAGGGAAGCCTGGCTGTTGGGTCCTTGTCACCCTAAACAAGGCTTGCCAGTGCACCTGCCCCATCCACAGGCCCAGCACCATCACTGCTCTACAGCTGGCCTTGTTAAAACAGCTATGGTAAATTAAATGCGCACCTTCCTCTTGGAGTTTGTTTCAGGGCAGGGATCGACATTTTCTTTCTTCTTGTCCCAAGGGCAGGCTTAAGACAAGTGTAGGGGATAGGCATGGGAAAATGAAAAGCAAAAAGGAGCTGGTGCCTCAGACACTTCCCAGGACTGGCAGGGTGCCAGGCACAGAGCAGGTCCTCGTAAAAGCCACTGAACTAAGCTAAGAGTGGAGACCGACACAGGGTAGAGAGGAAACAATATGGCAGAAACGGCCAGTGCACCTTTAAGAGTGTTCTCCAAAGTGGCTCTGAGGAACCCAGCTCTGCGTCCTCCAGCCAGCCCAGGGCAGTCCGGTCAGGAGCCCAGAAAACGCGGGGACAACAGTAGGCACACTTCTTACGTCAAGACTTCTCAAACCCTTACCACCCGGGAGCAGTGGTTCGCAAAGTGTGGCCCCTGACCAGCAGCATCAGCATCACCTGGACTTCGTGAGGTCCCAGAGCCATTCCACATCTGCTGAATCTGAAACTCAGGGTGGGGGCAGCAATCTGAGGTTAACAAGTCCTCCAGGGGATTCTGGTGCATGCAAAAGTTTGAGAACCACTGCTGAAGAATTTTCAAGGTTTTCCAAATTAATTTGACCATAGAACAAACCCGTCCTGAGGGAAACACCACTTTTTGCTGTATGTTAACTCTTGCTCTTATTTTATGATCGAGTTTTAACAAAAACATATGATACTATAGCAAATATAGTTAAAATTTTCCAGATTTCTCTTAACTTCTAGGTGATTTTTTTCCCCTACATTTCCCAACAAATTTATTTTCCAATGTAACATTTCTCTGATTCTATAACAAAATTCAGTGAAGACAAATAAGGTTGATATACAGAAATATATTTTGTTGGCATTGGCTATCAGGAGGGCATACTCTGAAAATTTCTAAGAAGTCCAGGCATGTTCTAGTAGCATTAGTGAGTTTAAGGGGAAAATCCTATTTTCTATGACAGGAGTTGGGGTGGCAATAAGAAGGTATGGTCTTTCTTCCCAGCAAAACTCAAGGGTTTGGTCTCCAAAGCCATCTGAATGAGCTCCCTCAACTTCCCTCCTCTCCATCTCTTCATCGTAACCTCTCTTCTTTCCCAGCCCCCACTCCCCAGAACAAATGACTCACCTATCCCTCCCCACCATGGTCCATTCTGGGTCCACCTCTTCCTCCGTCCACTATAGCTTCCAGCCCCCGATGACGCCCAGTCTTCCTTGCATTTCCCACCTCTGTCTCTCTAGGCTCTTGCTCTTCTTCAGGCATCCTCACCTAGTTGGCCCTTCCCTTCCCTTCACTGTCAACTCCATTCCAGGAGATTCTATATATATAATTTTGCCCAACCTCAAATACACCGTGGGTGGCCTGTCTGTGAGGCCAAGAGCAAGGGCTGCTGGGAGGCATGGCTATGAAACCACACTCCTCTCCTCACCACCTTCCAACAAAGCCTCCGTCCTGGCCCTCAGATATCTCTCCCCTGCCTCTCACAGGGCTCCCAACCACTGCCTGGGCCTCAATGCTTGCTGCAGCCTCTTGGCTTAGCTTCAAGCCTGCATGAGCTGGCCACCGATAATCCACCAAAAACCAGCCACTATTGAGTTGATTCCAACTCATGGCAACCCCGTATGTGTGAGAGTAGAATTGTGCTCCAGAGGGTTTTCAATGGCTGTGGTCTTTCAGAAGTAGATTGTCAAGCCTTTCTTCTGAGGCACCTCTGGGTGCACTTGAACCTCCAACCTTCAATCAGTAGCCAAGTGTGTTAACTGCACCACTCACAGACTCCTAAGACGTTCCAAAGGGCTCTCAAACTCAACGTCCCAAACTGGATGCATCTTCCCATCCAAGCCTCTTCTTCCTCAGCTCCCCTTTTTAATGACACCCCACTTTCCCTACAAGCCAGATTCCCAACTTCACAGTTGCCTCGGGTTCTCCGCCTGCCCTCCCCCTGCTATGACCTGAACTTTGTTTGGATCCTGAGCTGTGTCACTCCCACATCCCGCGCTCCTCCCTACTCTCCCGGCCAAGTTGTCTTCCCTCACCTCCTCCCCACCCCTGGGTCCCTCCTCTAAGCCTCAAAGGCTGTCAGGCGAGCTTCCCGGAGCTTCCTGCATGGCAGCTCCACCCCTCCTCCTCACAGAACCTCTCACAGCTCTCCATTTTTCACTGAATATTTGAAATCCAGATGAACAGTGGCTGACTCCAGATCGTGGTAGCATTTCTGATGCTGCTTTTCCAGGAAGACGGCCATGGGATGGGTGAAGTGCCTTGTGGTGCCCTGCCCACAGTCCCCTCACAGAGCTGCCACTTCCTTGATCTCATGTGATGGGAAGTGCTACCTGGTGGCCTGTCTGTGAGGTGCAGAGAAGCCCGGTCGCCATGTGAGGCTGGCCCTTCACCTCTCCGAGAAGTCAGTACCATTTCTACACTGCCTTGTTCTACCGGGCAGGAAGCTTTCTTTCTCAATTTTTTGAAGCAAAGACATTCCCTTATCAGCCCTGCCAAGTCTGAAGCTCAGGGCCATGCCATAAATGGTGTGTGGTCAGTAATCACAAGCTACTTCTCCTTTGAAGCCACCAGGAAATATCACAACTCCCTTGGTCCTTTGAGCAAGCCACACCACAGAATACCTGGGCACATAGTGCCCTCTCGGCCGGGGTAGCCCTTTCTCCTTCTCTGGGCCCCACTTCTGTCTGCCTGGCTAATAACAAGTCAGGCCTGTTGCCCCCACTGCAACAAAGCCTTCCTGGACCCCATCAATGACATAACGCCCCTCACCATGTGCCTCTACAAGCTGTGGAGGGCAGAGAGTGATCAGAGGGAGCAGGTGCTTGGCAGCATGTGATGGTGGAGAGCTGCAGATCCTGGCTGGCCTGACTCTGTTCCCATTCCCAAGAAAGGATGAAGACAAACGCTGTCCTTGTTGAGAACCTTCTCTGTGTGGGGTTCACATAAGTGGTCCCTGGGGAGGAGCTAGGGTCTCATCTTTCAGCAAAGGCACAGCTCTCCCTCCAAGTTCATCCTTCCATCCATCCATTCATTCATCCATTCCTCCATGCATCATCCCTCTCTCCATTCCTCCTTCCCTCCATCCATCCATCCCTCCAACCTCCCTTCCTCCATCCTTCCTTCCTTCCATCTATCCACCCACCCCTCCCTTATCCATTCATCCATCCATCCATCCCTCCAACCTCCCTTCCTCCATCCTTCCTTCCATCTATCCACCCACCCCTCCCTTATCCATCCATCCATCCATCCATCCACCCTTCCACCCACCACCATTACTGAGCCCAGGTGCTACTTCTCCCCACAGTAGCATCATGCTCCCCTGATCTCACAGCCTCTCCATCCCTATCATTCTCTCTCCAAACTGCCCCTCTTACAAGGGCCTTCTGTCCTGCTTGTCCCACCCTGGTCGGGACTCTGTCCTGATAAAGCTATACACCTTTGACTCAAAAATGCCAACCCCTGGGTAGAAAGTGAAACATTTTCATTATGATGTTTCCAGGTAGCTAGATGTTTGGGCACTGCTTCGTTATGAATCCAGATATTTGATTTTAATTTTTCTCTCCAGTTTGGAGCTGAACAGACCTGGATTCAAATCCTGGTTTTGTCAATTCCTACCTATATGACCTCAGGCAAATTACTTGACCTTGACCCATCTGAGCTAGAGTTTCCCCCAGCTCGAAACTGTCAATAATATTATCGACCTCCCAGGGTTGCTGTGAGGGTCAAAATAGATGACTCTTCCCAGAACACACCCATGCAGTGCCCTCACTAAGGAGGGGCTTGATAAACGGCAGTCCCTTTCTCTTTCCAGAGATAAGTACATATGGTCTTTCTGACTCAAGGGATTCCCTGCAGAGGCTGATTGCAAGGCTGTAGGGTGTATGTGCGTGGGGGTAGTGTTCTTCCAACATGTCCAAAGGAGCCAGGGCCCAGGCTCAGGCCTGGGAGTGTGTGACCACCGGAAACCTGCCAGACCATGGCCTCCCGCGGCTTTCCTTTGAGAACCCTGACCAAATGAGGTGCCCTTCTCCGAGGCAGCCTCTCAGTTACACAAATGTCACCACAGAAGGCTGACCAGGCTAGTGTTTCTCCACCCTATCTGACTCTTGGAGATCTGGTCAGCGTTTTCCAGACATGCATGATTCTAAGAATCCCCTGAGGTACCAAAGTGCAGGTTCACTAGCCCTGGGGTGGGGCCGGGGAGTCTGTATTCTTAACAAGCACCCAGATGAGCTTCACAATTCAGCAAGCTTTAAAAAACCCTGCAACAGTTCAAACTCAACCCCAGGCGCACCGCATCTCTGCCATTTGTTAGCAAGGGCTCCTCACCTGTAAAACGTGGACAGTAGCTGTGCCTACCTGGGCAGGTGAGGGTGCGTGCCCAGGACTCAGCAGAGGTGTCTGGGCCATTATGACTCCAGAGCCCTGCCATGCTGAGGCTTAGCCTGGACACTGTCCACATTCGGATTGGCCAGGAGGGGTCAGGTGGGTGGGGATGGGGCATTCCAAGTACAGACCTGAGCTTCAGGGCTGAAAACACAGCTACTGCTGGCTGTCTGGTGTCCCCCAGGTGGTAACTTTGCTGAGATACAGGTTATCTTGTGACTATGTATTGAGAAGCCACTCTGTGGCCACGATATAAAGTGTTTGGGGACAGTTGCTTGGCAGAGCTGTTCCCCACCCAAGGCACTCACTAGAAAAGGAGTGAGGGACCTGCCTCCCACGCTAGTCCCTGCCGAGGCTGCCCAGAGTCCTTGCGTTCTTGTGAACTTACGCTTTGGAGTAGTTCAGCACAAAGTCCACTCCTTTCTCACTGTCAAACTGGATGTCGTGAGGTAAATCCTTGTGGCATTTGGCATCAATACTTAAGGGGAAGCCAGGGCTCCACTCTATCCACCTGAGCATGAAAGAGGAGGAGAACATCGGGTTAAGCATCTGGCCTTGGCATTGCTACCCTCAGGTGAGGCGGCCTGTGTCGTCGTGACAACGTGACATGAAGCAGCTGACGTGTCTACCATCAGTTCAACATGTCACAGGCTGGCCATGCTTCCAGTGTAGGGGCACCAGGGGTGTGAACTTTGCTGTACCCTGAGCTTCACAGCGGGAGGCCTGAGGCTGGGATTTACCGCAAAAGGCTAAGGAATGGTAGGTGTGCACCAGTGAGTCAAGGAGTGAAGAAGTAAGGCTCACGTGACTCCATCTGTTTGAGGCAATGTCTCCCACTGCCCTGTCTTGCTGGCCACGGGAAGGAGAAGTGGTCACAGCAGCCCCATCACACATGCCCCCGGGCATCCCACATACCACCGGTTCAGCCAGTGCTCATGTTTTGCATGTGGTGGTCAGGGGAAATGGGACAGTTGTCATGCCTTAGCATTGGGGCCCACAAGGCAGCCAAGAGGCTGAGCAAGGACCCCCAAGGCACAGACCATTGGAGGTCTGCCCTCTTGCTAACTTGCTGGCTGGTCTCAGGCATAGAGGTTCTTACAACAAAAAAAAACAGTGACTGTCGAGTCAACTCCATTTCATGGTGACCCCACGTGTGTCAGAGTAGAACTGTGCTCCCTAGGGTTTTCAATGCCCGATTTTTTGGAAGTAAATTGCCAGGTCTTTATTCTGAGGCAAACCACCAATCTTTTGATTAGCTGCCAAGCGTGTTAACTGTTTGCACCACCCAGGGACGCCAACAGACGTCCAAAATTGAGCCACTCATTCGACAGTCCCATTAGTGTTAACCATCAATTTAACAAAAGGGAAGAACACCCTTGGCATTTCTCAAACTAAGAGAACTGAAAAAATTCAAGCCTCGAGTTGCAATTTTGAAGGATTCTGGGCCTTGGTGGTCCATTGGTTAAGTGTTTAGCTGCTAACCAAAAGGTCAGCAGTTCAAATCCACCAGCTGCTCCTTAGAAACCCTATGGGGGAAGTTCTACTCTTTCCTATAGGGTTGCTATGAGTCAGAATCGACTCAATGGCAATGGGAATGGTTTTTTCTTTGGTTATGGGCAAAATATTGAACAACACAGGAAGCATCAAAAGAAGATGGAAGGAATACCAACGTCACTGTACCAAAATGTATTGGTTGATGTTCAGCCATTTCAGGAGGCAGCATATGATCAAGAACCGATGTTACTGAAGGAAGAGGTCCAAGCTGCACTGAAGGCACTGGCTAAAAACAAGGCTCCAGGAATGGACAGACTATCAATTGAGATATTTCAACAAACAAATGCATTGCTGGAGGTGCTCATTAATCTATGCCAAGAAATTTAGAAGACAGCTACCTGGCCAACTGACTGGAAGAGATCCATATTTGTGCCCATTCCAAAGAAAGGTGATTCACACAGTGCAGAAATTATCAAACAGTATCATTAATATCACACACAAGTAAAATTCTGTTGAAGATAATTAAAAAAATGGTTGCAGCAGTACATTGACAGGGAACTGCCAGCAATTCAAGCTGGATTCAGAAGAGGATGTAGAATGAGGGATATCATTGCTGATGTCAGATGAATCTTGGCTGAAAGCAGAGAATGCAGAAAGATGTTTACCTGTGTTTTATTGACTATGCAAAGGCATTTGACTGCACAGATCATGACAAATTATGGATAACATCGTCAAGAATAAGAATTCCAGAACACTTTAAGAGGCAGTCGTTTGAACAGAACAAGGGGATAATGCATGGTTTAAAACCAGGAAAGGTGTATGTCACGATTGTATCCTTCCACCACACTTATTCAGTCTGTATGCTGAGCAAATAATCCTTGAAGCTGGACTATATGAAGAAGAACACGGCATCAGGGTTGGAGAAAGACTCATTAACATCTTGCAATATGCAGACGACACAATCTTGCTTGCTGAAAGTGAAGAGGACTTGAAGAATTTACTGATGAAGATTAAAGACTACGGCCTTCAGTATGGATTACACCTCAGCATAAAGAAAACAAAAATCTTCACAACTGGACCAATAAGCAACATCATGATAAATGGAGAAAAGATTGAAGTTGTCAAGGATCTCATTTTACTTGGATCCACAATCAACATCCATGAAAGCAGCAGTCAAGAAATCAAAGGACATATTTCATTGGGCAAATCGGCTGCAAAAGATCTCTGAAGTGTTGAAAAGCAAAGATGTTACTTTGAGGACTAAGGTGAACCTGATCCAAGCCATGATATTTTCAATAGCCTTATATGACCAAAAGAAGAATTGATGTATTTGAATTATGGTGTTGGTGAAGAATATTACTGAATATACCATGGACTGCCAAAAAAACGAACAAGTCTATCTTGGAAGAAGGACAGCCAGAGTGCTCCTTAGAAGATGGTGAGACTTTGTCTCACGTATTTTGGACATGTTATCAGGAGGGACCAGTCCCTGGAGAAGAACATTATGCTTGGTAAAGTTAAGGGTCAGCAAAAAAGATCCTCGATGAGATGGATTAACACAGTGGCTGTAACAAGGGCCTCAAATATAGCAAGGATTGTGAGCATAGTGCAGGACCGGGCAGTGTTTCATTCTGTTGTACATAGGGTCGCTGAGTTGGAACCGACTCAATGGCACCTAACAACAACATCAATTTAAATAGTGCTAACAATTTTCTCCATGCCACTGGGAAGTTCAAAGACTCTAATTCATTTTAAGAGCCAGTGGGGCTGAACTTTTTCAGTGTGCAAACATTGAGCCCAGTGAGGAGAAAGGTGTTAGCCTTTCACACCATTCACACGTTTTTATGTGCAGTGTTCACTTGGAAAGATGTGGGCCACATTTCCTCACCACAGAGAAGGATCTCCCCTTCTCACCTTCTTGAGGGTGGCAGTGCTCATGGCCCCATCTTGCAGGGCTAGGAGAAGATGGCCTTCCCAGTTCTGGGATCCGGAGAACTGGATAATCCCTGCCTTCTTCTGCAGAGATGGGCAGTGTGCTGAAACCAGCCACTTCCATCCCTTCCACTGCTGGCTGGTCACAGACAACCTGACCTGAATCAGGGCCCAAGGCCTTCATACCACAGACATGAAGAGACAGAGGAAAAATCACAATCCACGGAGGAGGATCTAGTTAGCAACCAGGTGGAAATAAAGAAGCAGCAGAAAAGATACTTATTTTTAAAATAATGAGAATTCCTTTTTAAAATTTTATTTATTTTGTTGTTGTGGAGAACATACACAGTGGAACATATACGAATTCAACAGTTTCTACATGTACAATTTAGTGACATTGATTACATTCTTCAAGTTGTGGCAACCATTTCACCCTCCTTTTCTGAGTTGTTCCTCCCCCATTAACATAAACTTACTGCCCTCCTGAGGTTAAAAATACTGAAAATTCTTAAGGAGATACAAGTCAAATAGGAAAAGACTTTCTGTAATAACAAAACATAATTTCTGAGTTGATAAATTCAATAAAGAAACGGAAGAAGAGACTGGTCCCTGATGAGAACTGACTGGTCACCTGGAAGACAAAATGTCTTCACTCCACAAATAATTACTGAGCAATTACTGTGTGTTGGGCACTACTTTATACAAAGCGGAAAAAATGTAACACAGCACAGAGCAAAACCACAAAGAACGGAAAAGCCTGAATGAAAATACGAGACAGGGGAGTCAGATATAGAAGATTTAATATGCAGAGAGTAGACGTTCCAAAAAGAAGAAAAGGTATATACGGACAGGCAAAAAAAAAAAAAACCAAAGAAATTAAAAAAAAAAGTTCTTAAGCTAAAAGACCTGGATTTTCTGATTGAAAGCAATTTCTAAATTCTAGGTAGAAGAATAAAAGAAGGCACACCTAGATTATGTACTGATGAAATTTTAAAACGGCAGAGAGAGAAGAGAACATGTGAGAGAAAAGGAGAAGGGGTGAGGGGGCTAGGAAGGGAGAGAAATGTACCCCATAAGCTTCTGGAAAAAGAAAAAGAATCAACTCCCATTAGATTTATCATTTGCCACACTGAAAACAGGAAGATAGTGTAGTGTTCACAGGATATCCTTTGAAAGATCATTATCTAAGATTCTTATAAGAAGCCAAGTAATCGGTGAGGATAGGAGAAAAAAAATTTTTTTTGACAAGCCAGGACTCAAATACTGCATCAATCCCCCACATACCTCTTCTGAGGAAATTAATTGAAGAGGTTCAGCCAAATAAATTTTAAATTAGAAAGAACTAAGACTTTCCTAAGTATAATAATGGGTATCAGAAAACAAAAGTGAATATTAAACAAAACAGAAATATCAAAGGAATCATCTTAAGAACCAAGGCTAAGAGATTAGAGTATTAATCAAGGCTGATTAGCACTACTATTCCTTGTTTTTTGTGTTCCAGTCATGCAATAAAAAAGACCAGTGTTGTAAATAACAGAAAATAAGAGGCAAAAGTACCATTATTTAGATAAGATGGTTGAATAACTAGGTCATAAAAAGACTCAATTAAAAAACTATCAGGGCCAATAAATGCATTTAGTAAGGCATCAATTCAAGGTAAATATTAAAAAACAAGTATTTATCCCAGCAACATTTAGAAACAGAAAAATATCCCACTCAGAGTGGCAAAGGCTATAATATCTTTTGCTATGAAGTAATTAATGCACAGCCACCACCCCTCCATCAGTGGAGGTATATGTGTTGCTATGATGCTGAACATCTTTCAGTGGAGCTTCCAGACTTAGACAGACTAGGAAGAAAGGCCTGGTGATCTACTTCTGAAAATCAGGCAGCAATGAAAACACTATGCATCATAACAATTTAATTCACAACCGTTCATGGGGATAGCACATTTTATTCCATTGTGCATGGGGTCACCGTGAGTCAGGGGCCAACTGATTGCAGCTAACAACAACAACAAAAAGTAAGTCGGAAGGCAGAAGACCTGCATGAGGAAAGCTAACGAGCCTCTTGAAGGACATTACC